CCTCCCTGGTTGTTGTTGGTTCTTTTTATATCGAAAGCCACATTCTTTCCTACTTTTTTATGTTGCATATTATGGGAATAAAGATTTCTAACTTTCATTCTTTGTTTTTTTTTTTGCTTCTTTCGTCTTTATGATTCGATTGAGGACAGGACATCGTCGGGAATGACGCTCAATAGGCGGCGATGACATAAAAAGGAGGGGTAAATTGTTTTTACCTGAGTCCACTTTTCGCATGTGATGATCGACATGAATCACGGTGGTGATGACATCATCAACATGCATGGGGAACTAGCGAGGAGCATCGGGGACTTGTAGGTCAAATCTGATCCAACAGTCGTGGCTTGAGCGACGCAGGTTGCTAATGATAGGATTTGGGAAATCCTAGATCTCCTTCAATCTGGACCATTGGATCATAACTGATCCAACTGTGGGGATTAAGAGGCGATGAGTAGCTTCATCAGAGTTAAGGGTGAAACCCTAATTTAATGGGTTATTAGCTGGGCCTTGTAAAAACGTTTGGGCTTGTATTTGGCTGCTTTGTATTTTGCTTACATAATAATAATAATAATAATAATTGTACACAAAAAAAGGTGATTATAGAAGACATTCATTATAGAGGAAAGGTTTCCCTTTAATTCTTAAATCGAGTTAAAATCGAGCAGCTTCAATTGAGGTGACTGGTTGTTTTTGTTGTAATTTTTGTTGGTTTGATAATTACCATATAAGTCATCTTTCGATAATTATTTGCTCGTATAGAGCACAAAGAATGTCAGCCATTGTGATTCTATTGTTATTGATTTATGCTATGATCATTAATATATATATTAAAGATGCCTTTCAGATAAAATCGGGTCTATGTGACTATATACATGCATCCTAGAGCTATCAGCTCAAAATTAATTATTGATAAGTTCTAGTATTGATAAATGATGCTTATGGTTAATTTGTCAATTTTGAGATACAATTGATATGCCATAGAATTCATAATGTTTGTACATATATTGTTAAGCTTTAATTTTATTAGAGACGGAGAGATAACAATTTAATCTAATTATGTTCAGATATAACGAAATTCAACACTATCCTCATTTCTCTATTTTTTTAACAACATTATTCCCTAAATTTGCCTAATTATTTGGTGCAAGATAAATAAATACTTTATTACCCATGCATGCTTGTTACTATTCAAGCAACGGTTTTCAAATAAAATTATGTAAACAACAAATTCTAAAAACTAATCATAAAGTTTTTATATAGATAATTCAAAAATGATTTTGTCAACTTAATAAAGCATCATTATTTAAAGAAATTTTATATAATGAACTGAAAGTAGTAGTTAGTTTTAATTAAACGAATTCATTTTTCAAACCAGAGAACTCATTTTTGACTTAAAGCAATTCTTGAAAGTGCATTATGTGTTTGAGGAGAAATTATTTCATGGATTCGGTTCATCACGTTATCTATAGTTCCCGTGAATTTGATTTATGAATTTTAAAATAACTACTTACTCCTAATTTACACGTAGGAAAGAGGTGGATATTCATCTTTAAAAAAATGAAATAGACAAATGTTATTAGTTGGAATCACGGATGACGTGGTGAAGTCCACCTAATAATTTTTTATGTGAGAGTACACAAATCAGAACCCTAAAAAGTAGACATTTTCCATCCGACATTTCTCTTTCATTGTGTGTCCAAATCTCTCAATCATGTTCATATACATATTGGAGTGGTTGATATATTGTGTCATTATTGGTGTAAAAATGGGAGCTGGTAAACAAACTTTCCCACCAATATTTGCCAAAGAAACCTAATGGACCCAATTCTGCACATTAAAAAGTCGTCCTTGTAGGAAAGTGTAAAGGCTTCCATTAGACTAATCCAACACCCTTGGTCATTAAAACAACCTTAATCAAATACTTAATTTTAACCCTCTCGTTAGTTGGGACAAGTGTAGGCTACACATTCTTATATAAACAATCAGCCCAAATTAAAACATGTGATTAATTAAAGGATTTAGCCTTAATAATGAATTAATTTTAGGGTATTATTTAATTTTTGAAACTTATTAAGCATTCTCATTGATAAGAGATAATATAATTCTCCCTAATTGATTTAAATTCAAGCAGTTACGTTAGAAGAATGTGTGTTGTCAATAATTAAGAAACAAAATTAAAGTATGAACAAAATTTTGAGCAATAAAATTCAAATATGAGAAGAAGCTAGCAAGAGGGAATAAAATGAGGGCAATGCCTTGCCTTTTATGTAGTGCCCCATCTTTATTCATGGGCATTATTGTATTATTATGTCTCCACTTTATCAAAATCAACTTTTTCTATATGTGTGTGTGGGCTTTGCCCTAGGAAACGGCAAACTCAAGCATGATACCAAGATAATTACAACTCCTCCTACCCTTGCCTCCTCTTTTTCTGCCTTTCTCAATCTCAACTTTTGCCCTTAATTTACCTACATATATGTATTATTGTAACTATGTATTGAGTATTTAAATTTTTAGAAATATTTATAAAAGAAGTTAAACCTTTATCAAATAATATAAAAAAATCACAAAACAAAATTATTTTATCAAAATAAAGTCCAAGATTAAAAATTAAAATTAATATAAAAATCAAGAATCAAATGAAATCGAAATATTACGAATAATTTAAAAATTCAACAAATTTAATCTAACCGATCCAATCTTACCCCTAATAGTATTATTATCTACTTAATCATGAATTCAAACTGAAATTAAAGAAATTAAGGGAGTTGAAGTTAAATGACGAGTAAGCTGTAGCAAGTTTGAAATTGAAAAGTTTTGGAGTCTATTTGATGAAAATTATACCCAGGATTGCATGCCAACCCAAACAGTATTTAGTGGGGGATTTTTGCTGATTGTTTTAACCTTTAAGATAAATTAAATCAAGAAATAGAGTTGAAATGGGATTCGTTTCTTTGTGATGATTGATTATGCAAAAGAAACTCTAAACATATCTTCCAAATATTCACTTGCTTGCCTAAGGCATTTTTTCATTAGATAATTATAGTTAATCAAGCTATTCATAATTATTGTAATTATTATTTTAACAAACCTGATAATTAAAAAAAGGAATATATATAGCTAAAACCCTTGATTTATCATTATAGGATTAACTTTACCATCATAATGCCATGCTTTAAAACCATTATATATATGTGTGTAAGGAATTTGGAGAGACCCATTTCCTTATTTTTGTAAAAAGATACAAAGGAACGTTCATTTCACATCAATTCCGGTAACTTTAAAGTTGTAATGAATTCATAAAAATGTAAAGTACAAAATGAAGGTTTTATAATATATATATATATATATATATATTAAAGGTTTAACGAATTTTTTTTAGTTTTAGTATGAAAGTTGAAAATTTTTTAGGATAGAAAATTGGGTTAATTGAAAAATAAGTATTTAAACTATACTTTTTTCATTTTAGGTGTCTAAAGTTTTGTTTGTGCATTTATAAAATTGTAAAATTTAATTTTAGAAAACTAAATATTACTGTCTTTTAAAAATATCAATTTTTTCTAAAATATAAAAAAAAACTCTAAAATTTCTAATTTCAAAGCATAACTCCATCTTCTACCGTTGTTGTCATCAACAACTCACTCATTATTGGACCCCACTGTTGGTCATCCCTTTTTTATCGCCTCAATACCTTAGATCGTCCTAAATCAAAATTTCTAAATCCCCAATTCTCAAATTCATAATAAGGACAACTATGGACAAATGACGTATCCCCTCTAAAGATGAGTTAATAGCTTCATTCAAGTTACTAATCATATGAATATCCCTTATCATATGCATTTGTGCACAAATCTTTCTTTATTATAGTGATACAATTATAGGTATCAGAATTTTGTGCTTCTAAATCTTCTAGCATATACCCAAATTCTTATGATAAGAGTTAACAACCTAAGAAATATAAATTAGTTAATAAAATGAAAATATTTTAGAAATGGAACTGGAAATTATATGTACTCATGCGTGCAATAAGTTGTCGTTCATAGTTCTTTTTATATTTTTCATGATAACTTAATGTAATATGTCGGATGCAATAACAATATTGAGTATTTGGAGGTAGCCATATGTTGCCCATAGAATCTATTACTGTTTTTGATCTAAACTCAATATGAAATAAGACATATATAATATTTCTTAATAAAGTGCACATTGTTTTACGTAGTCATTTACTTGTAGTTTGTATTTTATGTTTGAATGAAGTGTTTCACTTACGTTTCATGTAAAAGAAACAGAAAAATCATCTATAATGATTACATTTTGAAAGGTAAAGACATTATACCTAAAATATGTGATATCGATAACCAAGGTTAAAAATTATCAAGCTTAAAGTTAGTCCTTAATTATACAATTATGCCGTGACACGTTTGTTAAAGAGTTGATTATAAGTACATTGTCCATTATTGAAGTAAATATCTTCTAAATAAAATTAAATCAAATTTATTGTACAATTTTTTTTTATTTTTGAATAATTGTATTTAAGTCCTTAAACTTTTGAATATTTACATTTTAATCTCTAAAATTTTTAGAAGTTATAAAATTGATTAATGATTGTTAATAACATTTTCTATGGGCTATATGATGATTTTATGTTCGATGTATGATTTGTAAATTTCGGTTCTCAGTTTTTCAATAACACATGTGATATAATTTTCATTATAGAACTAGTCGAGGGTGTTACACATATCATAAAATCTTCATTATAGAACGAGTCGAGGATGTTATATATGTCATAAAAAAAAGGAGCTCAATTTTTGAATAACTATTTTTTTATTTAAAAATTAAATTATAAAAGGAAAAAATTGTTATAAAGATATTTTTTTTGAAACGTGGAAGGTCGTACTTTATTGATGCAGTCCAGCAAAGCCATAGTAAAAAAACAGTAGCAATTTTATTTTGGATAAATCAAATTTTATTATTCGAAGAGCATAGTTCTTCTACAAAATCAATCAACCAATCTGTAACAGAAAGAACAATAAACAACCTACTTACAAAAAAACAAAGATTGGTTAGACTATACCCCAAGCATTACAAAGGTTTCCGTTTGTGCTATCTATTCTATTAATATTTCTACCCTTAAGTTGGATCACCACAGCTTCTTTAATAGCCTTTATCATGTCTTCAATAGTTCTATTACGACCTTGAAAAATTCTGTAATTCCTTTCCTCCCATAGTATATAAATATAAGCAGTCCATGAGATCTTCAATATTGTGGTGAGTAGTGACTTCCCTTTCCATGTTTTAGTATCCCGAGTAACCATATCATCCCATGTTAAGAATGCATTCTTTAACCCGTTGAGCGACATAATGGAATTCCAAAGCCGAACAACAAGAGGACATTGAGAAAAAAAAATATGGTTTCTTGTCTCCTGCTCAATGTTGCAATTAACACAAGTTCCTTCAGAGTTGATTCCCATTTTGAGTAACCTATCTCTTGTAGGAAGTCTGTTCAGCAAAACCATCCAAGTAATGAAACTGAATTTTGGAATGGGCATGGGGAACCAGATTAGTTTGTGCCATGAAACTTTCTCCCCTTTGTTACGGATTGCATCCCAGATGTCCCTAAGCTTTAACGAACCAGAAGAAGAAATGATTGACTAAGCTATTTCTCGCATTTTAAAAATTCTACTTACAGTCCAGCTCAAGTTAGAACCTGCAACATAACTCCAAAACTCATGGTCCTTAAGAACATAATTTTTAAACCAAGCAACCCAAAGAAAACCATCACCCGCAAGGATTTTCCTAGTGAGATCAATAATACAAGCTTTGTTCCAAGTTTTAGTGTTCTTCAGATCGAGGCCTAAGCAAATAAATTCCCAACTGACACGAGCACCTGCAGCTGCCTTATCTTCACCTTTCCAGAAAAATCTGGAACGAATCTGGTCCACTTTTAATAAGACCGATTGGGGAAGGATAAACTGTCTCCACCAGTAATTTGAGACACTGAAAAGGACATAACGGATGAGCTCTAGTCTGCCAGCATAGCTCAGATTTCTAGTAGACCTATGGTGAAGCCTTTGTTTAATTTTATCGATTAGAACTCCGCAGTCCTTCTTAGAAAGTTTACGAGTAACAAGAGTGATACCTAAGTATCTAACAGGTAAACTCTGTGTTTTGAATCCAGTGATCTGTTGAAAAGACTCCATAGCTCTTGAAGACCAACCAGCAGCAAAAAAACTCACATTTGGATGAATTAAGATGGAGCCCAGAAGTTTCATAAAACTGATCAAGAACACTTAAGACACCCATAATAGAATCAGCATTACCCTTACAAAATATCATAACATCCTCAGCAAAAGAAAGATGAATAAGGCCAATCTTCTTGCATTTTTGGTGGTAACCAAACACTCTTTTTTCAGCAGCCAAGTTAAACATTTTAGAGAAAACATGCATAGCAAGAACAAACAAAGTAGGTGAAAGAGGATCACCCTGTCTTAATCCTCTTGCTCCCTTAAAGTGTCCTATAAAAGAACCATTGAAAGAGATGAAATACCTAGCTTGAGTAAAACAAGTCTCAATCCAAGTTATGAATTTAGGAGGAAGAAGAAGGGCTATGAGAATAGAAGAGATGGAACCTCAATGAAGGGAATCAAAAGCCTTATGAAAGTCAATTTTCATGGAGCATCTAGTGGAGATTAATTTCCTACCATAGCCTTTGACCATTTCCTGAGCAAGAAGGATATTATCAACAATGCTCCTACCAATGAAAACCCACTGTAAGAAAACGGCCATCCGAATCCTTGCTAAGAAGAAGAAACACCATGATCGAGCCAACAAGAATTAATACAACTCTAAATCGATCCTAAAACTGTAAGTCCCTGAAGAGGCTGATGCCTATGATGGATCCAGCCACCGTCGATCCTCCACTACTTTGATGAGGACTCTCGAAGGGGCATCTTCAATCCAGAATGCGTCCCCTACCTCCACTGTCATCTCCGCCGCTAATATGTGAGCTACTTGGTTGTTCAGACGAGCCGTAAAGCGAAAATCGATTGCCTCCATAGCTTGTGCCTTTCGCTTGGCTTCCCATGTGAAAACCCCAATCTTCGATCTGTCGTTGACAAGAGAAATTATGTTCTGAATCACCGCTCTCGCATCTCCCTCTATCACCAACTTCATGAAACCCATCTCTACTGCAAATTTCACCGCAGCCTCCGCCTCAAACACCGAGGTAACATTCTCGACTCTTATTCTGCATGCACCCATTAATAATCCATCTTCGTTTCGAATCACTACTGCTGACCAGGATGTATTGTTTGCATGGGCAAATTTCGAATCAAAATTTACTTTCACAAAGGAGTTAGGTGGGGGAGATCAACAACTATGAGGATCTGGAGTGGGGCACCGAGAGCTTTGATTTTATAGCCTGAAATTCCATACAAATGGCCCCGATAAAAGGTAATAATAAGTTCACTGGCTTGAATTCTTATACCTTCATGGACTAAACGATTCCTAGCAAAACACAATGCCCACACCACACAGAATTTCTCAATGATTTCTTGCATTTGTGTTTGCTATGAGCCACCCAAACCAATTAACGAAATCCCATTTCTTAGTTTGACTCGGCCAAGAGAAGCTTAACCCCTGCCAAACTATTTTTTCCAGGTTGCAATCGCGAGAAACATGCATATGCGACTCTACTTCAGTTTGACAGCTCTGGCAAAACAGATCCGACAAGTGGTGATGGAAATGAAAAGCTTTTCTGGTTGGAACATAGTCATGGGTAAATTTCCAAACTTACCTTAATCTGTCTTTGACATTGCGACTGTTGGGATCGTCTGTATACCCTATGATGCAGCAAAAACATTATCTGAAAATCTCACCAGTAATGCATGTACGGAAACTTGAATTCAGGAGGAAGGGATGTAATACCCCAAATTTTGTACTAGTGTCTAAAATAAAAATTTTGAAAGTTTAATGACCAAAGTGTAAACTTAGGAAACGTTTAGGAGCCAAAGTTGTAATTTTCTCAAGAATAAATTTTATCACGTAAATGAATATTTTATTAAGAAATTAATGTTTTCTTGGAATCAAAATTTTGATTCAAGATTTGTATTAAAAATTATAAAGTAGTAAATCTGATAAGGAGTCGGATAATCAGATCAAACCGAAATTTCACAAAAATTTACAGGATGATAGAGAAGGGCTAGAAATATTATTTCCATAATTTAGAACATTGAAATTTAACATGGATCAGTGGAATTAAGGTTGATTTTTCATGTTAAGTTGAAATTGGAAAATTTAGTAACTAAATTACAATTTTAGAAAATTTAATGGGAAAAGGTGGAAAGTCAATTTTTTTATTCATCCTTGACTTTAGAATATTAAAATGGAAGATATTTCAATGACAAGTTGAAATTATCAAGAATTTTAAAGGACAAATTTAGATTTTTCATTAATTGAATTTTAAATTCAATTATATTATATTAAGCCAAGTGTAAAAAGTTATAATTCTAGAAAAATCAAGAAAAATCAGCTCTTCTTCTTGCTCCAAGCCATGAACTCCATTGACTGTATGGGGGTTTTCAATTTTATTTTTAAGGTGACATGATTGATTTTTGGATTAAATTATTAGATAGATAACTAATCCCCTTAAAATTATCTATCATTTGGTATAAACTTTTCATGGAAAACATGTTTGGATGATGAATTTCATGGTTTGGGTGGATGAAGAACAAGTTTTATTTTGATGATTTAAAGTTTGATTTTTATGTTATTAAGGTAGTAGATTAATTTCCAAGCTTATGTGATAAACAAAAATTGATTGGAATAGCACATATAAGCATATATAAGTTTCGACCAAGCTAGGGTTCATGGAGATTAGTTGAATTTTGATTGAATTTGATGTTAGGGTGATTGGAATTGCATGAATCTAATCATAGGATCTTAACTTTATGCTTGAAATTGAATGAAAATTAAGCCCTAATTTCTTAATTAGGTTCGACCATGAGGAAGTTATTAGGGGAAAATTGTTCAAAAATTTTCTATGGTCTATAATTGATATTAGATGAGCTCTAAATGCTTTGAAGTTGATTTGGATTAATTTGGAACCTTGAGATAGTAAAAGGACTATTTTGTAAGTTTTGGGAATTATGAGACATTGAAGTGAAATTGTTAAATTATGAGTATTCAATGTTGAAATTTAATATTTGGGTGTTGAATTTTAATTTAGAATGTTGATTTGGGACCAAAGTGCAGATTTGTTAAAGTTAAAGGTTGAATTTGAATAGGTTTGGAAAATTGGGGACTTAATTTCAAGTTTTTAAATATGAGGGTACTAATTTAGTATGTTATTGCAATGCTGGAAAATTTAATGTTTGATTTGAGATACTTAAAAATGATGAAGGACCATTTTTAGTTAATTAGAAAGGTTGATGTGAATTCTAAAAAGAATTCATAAATGGCGACTTAAATGCAAAGTTTATGGAAGTTGAGGGGTTGATGATGAAAATGAATAATTATGGAATTGAAGAGTTATTTTGGAAGGATTGAAGTTTGTTTTGTATTAGTGAGTTGATTTTTATATCGATCAAGTGTCAATTATGTTTTATAGAATTTTTATTATTGGAATTAGATTATGTTAGTATAATACTAACATATATTTTGAATATTGTGTTATCTATATGATGTTGTCCATACCATGATAAAATATTACGATCCTAGTGATTTAAAAGCGAAGGACAAAGTACGTGAGTAAAAGAAAATCGTATAAAAGGTTTGATAGGGAGGCAAATGTGAGTCCATTTTATTTATTTAATTATAATTGATTGAGTACGACTTACGATAAGGCAACCTCGTATGATTTTTAAAGAATGATTTGAACTAAATTATGGAACATTTTCATAATGTTTACTGAAATGATTTTAATTAGGGTATAACTGCCCAAAATATTATTTTCTGATAAATGATATATGAATATACTACTAAATGGAAATGATTGATTTATAATGATATGATTTTGTTGGAAAGCCCATTGTATGTTGCATTGAGAGTCGTAGGTACAATTGACATGTCATGAGGTGGAGTGATCTCTATTTATTGATGTTGATATTGTACATTCGTGTACATTATATATAGCACCGTTGGTCCAAATGATATGAGGCACTTGGAATGCATATTTCTATTTTCTGATGATAGCACCTGGAGTGTTTATTGTGCACACTCGTCTGACCCATGTACCTTGTATTCTCTTAAATATACGTTGGACTATGAGAATGAAATGCGAAAGTACTGAAATGTGATCGAATGGAAAAGAATATGGAATGATTAATGTGATTGATATTGATTATCGTGATTTTTTTGAAATCACAATATGATGATTTTCAGGTTCCTGATGTGGAAAAATGACTTAAATAAGTCGGTTTGGAAATTCAATTGTTTTATTTGAATTAAATGTTATTGTTTTGAAATGTTATGATATTTGTATATTCTATCTCACCTTAATTTGTTATACTGCCTCACTAAGTTTTAGTTAGCATATGATGATTTTTATGCGTAGGTTCAGAGATCGTACCTACCTATAGTATCAGTAAGATATCTATGATTTTTTTTACTTTTAGTGGCATATATAATATACTTGTTTGGTTGCTCTGATGGATTAGTTAGAATGATCTGTAATAGTAAATTAGAATTATTTTATTTTGGTTAGTATTAATTATGCCTGAGAATTTAAATGAATAAAATAAATATAATATTATGTTTTTGAAATTACTTAAATGATTTATAAACATAGTATTGTTTAGGCAATTTTATAAAATATTATGAAACAACATCGAACTGTCTAGTTGCTGCAAAAGATCGAATTTGGATTGGGTGATAAATTATTATTTTATGATTTTATGCGACTAGTTAAATTGATTTTTAATTGATAAACTGAAGTTTTGAAATGGAACAAAATTTTACGGATTTTTATGTAAGAAAGGTCAAAAGTGAATAGTGTAACATCTTTAACTCTTATTTAGGACGTATATGGGTTAAGGGTGTTACAAGAGATGCGTGATTTACCTTGGATTCATGGAAAAACAACATTTTGGTAATGCAATCACGAATGATTCGAATCTTAAGCCTCCACGAAATCGTCTCGACCTCTACGCAGTTTACCCGACTGAGAGAAAATATTTTCATTTCTCAAAAATAATATTTTTGATAATTTCGGAAAAGAACGTCTTCTAGACCATTCTTTTCTTTATATATGAGTTACCCTAACCCTTTATTTTTTTATTCTAATTTTTAATATTTTTAAATTTAATTATTCATTAAAAGAATTATAATCATAGTTATATTATTTTAATATTCGTTTATTACATCTGGGTTAATTTAAATTATATATATATATGTATTAACTTTAATTATATTCTTCAATCATGTACAATTAAAATTCGTTTAATATTTGCTCATTTCAACTCTAGGGTGTGACCTTGTAGGTTTTTGTAACAATAAGAGTAATTATTAGAATCATTCTAATATTACAAACAATGAGTGACATCTAGCAATATATCATTGTCATCTAAGTTACAAGAAGTTATTACTTGACATAACATCTTCATGACTAACTCTTTGTATGTATTATATCATTTTGTCCTTTATATCTAGAATAGGCACAAGTTTTGGAATAGTCACACTTGTATAACACATCTATTATTTCTTGCTATCTAGAGTAGACTATAATGAACGAATAGCTTGTGATATCTCATATCAACTTATTCGAGCATGTCCATTCATTTCTAGTCTCA